TACTTACCTACTTACCTACCTACCTACCTACCTACCTACCTACCTACCTACCTACCTACCTACCTACCTACCTACCTGCCTACCTCCCTGCATGCATGCATGCCTGCATGCATGCACATGTACGTATGAACGTTTGTTTACGCTCGATCTGGCCCATTTGCTTACCTACATGTACGATATCATAATGCAGGTTAAGGAAGCGAGATAGCTCACGCAAGCAAAGAATAGCAAAGATATGCATGTAGCTTGAGTTTGACTGGGCATGTGGTGTTTTCAAGGGAAGTTTGTCCGAATGTTGTTTGGCTGGTCCTGTTTGTGCAAGGATCGGTCCAAGGACTTCTGGGAGCCCCAGTATCCCTAGTTTTGTGTCTGTGAGATATGTTGGGGGCGCATGCTAAGGCTGAGCATGAAGGAGATGAGCCTCATTGACAACATGACGCTTGTCCTGGTTTCAAGAGTTATGCACTCAAACAGCATTTTAATGTTAGGGTTTCTGTAGTGTGTGTGCGGACTCGCCGGCTGACGTTCAGCCCAGCTGCAAAAAGGATTTTAAGGCTTCTTCAGCCTGGCTGCTTTGTTGCCGCAGGACTGTGTTTTGTTGTGCTTTCGGACACTCCGTTTCATCCGAGGAAGCATGTGTTAGTGGCTTACCACGTGGAGTTCGCACCCGGTTCCGCTGCAGCCTCAGATTGCTTGGTTTCTGAAGTTCAAAATCGTAAACCTTCAACCCAGCCTCGCCCGAAAAAAGCCCGAACTCCTAAGCCCCAAGGACGCGCGGCGCGCCGCCGCGCTGATGGCTGCAGGATCCTCCATCGGCGACAAAGCCTCAGGGTCGAGTTTAGGTTTTAGGGGTTTAGGTGGGGGTCTGAAAGCTGAGGGCTTGGGGTTTGAAGGTTGCAATGGTGTTTGGCCTGCTTCGGTTGCATTACATATTCACCTCAAGGCTTTAAGGATTAAGGCACCTTTCGATGTAAGCATTGTTCTAAACTGAGGTTCATGTGTGCTTCGTGACTTCTAAGACCAAGGTTGGACGAAACCCCCTTGTAAAATGGTCGAAATTCGCAGAATCCATTGGTGCCGGAGTCTCAGCATTTCAGAAGCGAACGTGTCACGGTCACATTGGTAGAGTTTTGAAGATCATTGCATCGGACAGCCCGAGAGGCTGTGGTTTACGATTTCGACCCAGAGCACCAGGCCGACCATCTCATTTTGGGAATTGCGCCTACATCTAATGCTGTGCCTGCAGCAATCACTGGCAGTTGTAGTAGTATCAGCAATGGTTGCAGCAGCAGTGGCAGTAATACTAGCCATGGTGCTGCTTAAAGTCGTGGTGGTGCTGGTTATGAGAGTATGATTATTATTACGAGTAGTCGCAGTAGCAGCAGCAGCAGCAGGAGGAGTAGGAGTAGGAGTAGGAGTAGGAGTAGGAGTAGGAGTAGGAGCAGTAGCAGTAGTAGTAGGAGTAGTAGTAGTAGTAGCAGTTGCATGTTGCCTGTCGCTGTTGCTGTTGTTGTTCAACC